ATACTTGTCTCACTTCCAAAAGAGTTCATAGTATTTCAATAAATGTAATATGCAATTCTTTATCGAAATTACCAAATTGTTTTGCGGCTATAATCTATGTCAAAAAATAATTACTATCGAGGCCAGTTTAGGTCACAAAACAATCAAAATGTCCAAAGTTGATGGAGTTTTTTGTCAACAATTGCGAGATTTGTCAGTTGCTGGTGTGTTGCTTCATTTTCTGAGAAAATAAAAATATATAGATAAACTTCTACGAAATTCTTGCCAAAGTCCAGACTAATCAGTTTTTTCGATATGATTGAGTAATATTTTATAGGTATTATACCAAATTGGTTGATTTGTTCTTTGTATCCACTTAGATCATTTGAACTCATTTAAAATTCCAAAATAAAATGAAACATTTGTTGTTCCATTCATTCAATAACTAGTAAATCAAAAGTTTTAGACAAAAATTTCATAGAAATGAATATTATTCATAGATATAACACTAAACAAACAAAAATATCATCAGTTAGTAATTTCATATCTAATTTTGGACAGAAATCAATATTACTATCTCCATTCGGGTTTGAAGGATGATTGAGTAATAATAAGTATTATACCAAATTAGTTGATTTGTTTTTTGTACCCACTCGAGATCATTTATACTCTGAAAAATGTGTATATTAAGTATTTCTTTCCCGACACAGTATGTTTTTATTACCCACTAATGATTCGACGAAAAAATGAAAAATAATTGATGTCTTACGTAAAGATTCACCCGAAAAATACATTTCAAAATTATAAATAAACATTCTACTTTTTGAGAAGCCATATGAAAACAATGAAGTTTGTGAAATATTTCTGATTTCAAAATGTTTTGCATCGGTTTCCTAATTTGTTACAAAATCATTCTCAACTGACATGTTCAATGAAAATTATTAAGTGCGTACGTAAAGTAACTATTTAGTAAATTCATTATTAGCTAATTAAACAATAATAATATAATAAATTGATTACTTTCCTCCTTTCTTTGGAAGATTCCCTCATCCCCTTTTTTTGTATCAAGATGGAGTAGTAGAAAGCCAAAAACTTTCTTTCCCAAAAATTAATCACTCCTAAAAAAATATAACCCCTTCAATTCAGATTTAATATGACTTCTGTTGGCAGCCCTGAGAACGAAGATACTATTTTATAAGTTTCGGAGATCAAAGATTTAGTGACAGAACCGGTTCTTGATATTTCATGGCGTTCAGTTGTTATATTTTTGAATAAAGTTGTCAAAGTTATTGTAGTCTCAAAGTTACGCCCCGTTTTCACGAATATAAAAGTGGCAACGAGTATTTTACAAATAAAATTGGCGTTCTGTTTGGGCAACGTACCGCGCGCTTCGCCCATTTTACGGTCGCCATAATCGTCCTACCGAGAGGACTATTTACAATGTGGTGGATAAATTCCAGTCCACTGGTTCAGTAAACGATCTACCAACACCCGTACGACAACGAAACGCAAGATCTGCCGAAAACATCGCCGCTGTTTGTGAGAGTGTGCAGGAGAATCCGAGGCAGTCCATTTTGCGTCGATCACAAGAGCTCGGCCTTTCCCAGACTACAACTTGGCCTTTTTTGCGTTGTGACTTGGACCTGCACTCGTACAAAATTCAACTGGTACAGGAACTGAAGGTAAACGACAATAGACAAGGACGTGTGTGCTGAATTGGCTCTGGAGCAGTTGGCAACTGACTCATATTTGGATAAATGGGTGCGTGAATAGACAAAATTGTCGAATTTGGCACGATACCAATCCACATGAGATCCAAGAGCTTAGATTTTTCTCTGGTCATCGCCAGATATTTCTTCGACACCAGCTTCCCAAGGTTGCCGAAGATGATCCTAGCAAAATTGCATCCTTTGATTCCATCCCATCTCTTTAGGGATCGAGCACAGGTGTAACATTTAGCTAGTTCCGCAATTGTCGAAGTCATCAGGCCGCAGATGCCACTGAGTCCTTAAGTTCTTAGTCCAGCCGCTTCCTTGGCTAAAGAGTCGGCAATGCGATTACCTTTAAACTTGTCGTGCCCTTTAACCCACCTTAGGAGAATGTTATTATCTACAATCTACAAAGGGGCTTTGGCTAAATCTTGGTGGCACTCTAGTACTAACCCTGAGGTAACACGTTGTCTGTACAAGGCTAATAGAACTTGTCTTCTATCAGTGCAGATTGTTATGTTTTTGCCAGAAGTTCCTTTCCTGGTTACGGCAAGCAGGATAGGTCGATGATTATCAACTTCTTTTGGCTTGAATTGGATGATCTGGACACCAACGACATGTGGTTTCAACAGAACGGCGCTACTTGCCACACAGCTCATGCTACATTGGATATTCTACAGGAGCGACTTGAGGGCATGGTCATTTCAAGAGGAGGGATGTAATCCCGTTAGACTTTTTGTAATGGGGTTTTCTTAGGTCGCAGCTGTATGCGAATGAGTCACAAACCACAGCTGTCCTCAAAGCAAACATAATCCATGTCATCGGTCAAATTCAGCCCGATTCATGCAACAGAGTCATGGAAAATTGGACGCCCAGGGAAGCCGTAGCGGACATTTGAATGAATGAAATATACCCTATATTTTACTCCGGTGACTAACAATTTCATTAAATGTTTCAGAACGACTCATAGGGATTTGTCTACAAAATAATGCACTGACTGAAAGATAAAGCACAACATTGAACTAAGTTTCTTCAACGGAAGTTAGGCACTATTTTGGCACTATCTTGGAAGGTGTATAATTTTGGTACCTACTTCATTACCTCCAAATCCACAAAGGTCATTTTATTGTTGTTTCCATTGAGTTGAACATTCTTCAAAACTTATTAACAATACATTTACCTGATACGTTCTTTTTTCGGGCCGAGTTGGCCTACGCCGATATTTGTATCCTGAACAACGTGTCTCTAAGTACATTGGAGTCATCTTAGTCTTTTTGAGTTTCTCAATCATCTTTTCTCTGTTCAAATGATTTTTAAGTTTCTTGATTTTAATTTTCAATTGCAGCTTGATTTTTGCTCTTGTACTCTTTATGCAGTTGAGTGTTCTAAATAGTTTTCCTTTTCTGTTTCTGAACTAAAACGAAGACATAACAGCCCCTATGCCCCTCATATGTTTTTCAGAGTTCTTTACATGTTCTTCTTTTAAACACAACATATTTTACGCGTTTGCTTCGAAAGCTTCGAGCTTTTTTGGGAAAATTTGGTCTACATAATGTTTGAAACAATTCTTGTGCGTTGAACGAACATTGTTATTAGTACAAAGCAACATAAACAGCTCGTTGTTTCATCTGAGTGTTTCTTCTTCAACATCAATATTTGCAAAATTATTCCAGGTCTATTCCATAACTCAACAATTCCATCAACAATGTATCTTGAATCACTTTTTTATTATATGAAATAAATAATCACTATGCACTTCAAAGGAAACAAGTTCATGAATCCTAAGGTGTATGTTATTGCAATTAATGCCACGGAAGTACAGAAAGCGATTTCATAGATTTTTTATTGTTTTCGAGACAAAAAATAAATTGTGCTAAATATGGTCCAAAACATAGCCTTAATTGAAATTGCTCCAAATTATTTTTGACAAAAATTCCCGATCTTCCTGTGTATGAATCAAAAGGGATTCACAAAAATGCATTCTACGTTCGAAGTCTTCTGCTTTTACAGTTTGAACTTTGGTAAGTTTATACGGATGCATTCCGTAATTTTTCAAAATTCGTTGTACTGAAGCATGTGATATGCTCAATCCCATCGAGTTGATTTGGGGAAAATTGAAACAAAGCATCAGGCGTAAAAGTAATTTTCCAAAATTTGATAAGAAGGTAATAGAGCTAATTAATGAAGAAGTTTAAAAAAAGAATCTATTTTTCCGTTAATCAGCTGTCACCACCATACGAACGACAACTCTCAGAAGTTGAGAAACTTTTGCGAGCTAAGGACTAACGAGAAGTATCTAATATTACCGAGGAAGACTGACAGAAAAGGTTTAAAAAAGTAATTTTATTTGAAAAAGACTATATGGAGATTAGACACTTCCAATTTAAGGGTGGAAATAAGTTCATTATTGATTTAAATGGCGACAGTGATAGTGGAATAGAGAATATGGAAGAGGAATTATCAGAAGATTTCGAAGAACGTTAGTGAAGTGTTTTTGAAGCGATCGATTGTATATACATATATGTGTGTATGTGAAAGAACAGAATCCTTTTGTGAGAAAATCGAAATGTACCGAAAATTGCGTTAGCAGCACATGACACTAGTCAACAGAAGAGGTCCGATCCTACTTCACGACAGTGCCCGTCTGCACGTTTTACAAATCACCTTCCGTTGGCAAAACTGCACTGATTTAAATGTCGCTTATTTCGTTCAAATTGACTGAATATTCACTGAGATATTACAGTTTGGAGTGGACTCATAAAAACGGACAAAACTTTCGAAACAACCAATATTAGAAACGTTTAGAAAAGTTTTTTGTGCCTGAATTTTGAGTTGTTTCGAAGTTTTTCAGGATAGTTATTTGGATTTCCACTGCCTATACCTCGGTAATTTTCAGCTCTCTCAAGATTTTCGACTTCTGAGTGTTGTCGTTCGTAAGAGGTCGATAGTTGAATTTCTGAAAGCAGATTTCAACAAAATAGGTATCAAGATTGGTCAGTTGTGCTTCCTCAAAACATAGAAAACAGTGCGAACTTTTTGGAGACCACTGTACGTGAGAATTCCAAACAACATAATCCTCCGAAATCTTTCGAACCTTTGATTCAAGTCGCGAACTTTGTAACCATTTCTCTTGAAATACTCGACTATCGTTCACAAAAACAGGATGAATGTTGTCACTTATAGATAACGATCATATGGTTTGTCGAAACTTCTATTTGTGGGTGCGAATCCCAGATACTCCCCCCTTCCACCACCACTGCCCCTTTTGAGTATTATCCTGCGCCTGTGGCCTAGGTATATATATAAGTAATCGATGGACTGGCAAATCCATACCCATCGCAACCTCTGTTAGTGTGAGCTCTGTGTTGTACTATCTAGCTTTTTGTTTGTAAAAGTTCATAATTCTGGCTAAAATATACTTCCCACTTGTCGCCAAATATCATAGACGCGATTGCTTTGTGTCTAAATCCGATAAAATATATCTGAAAAATATTTTCGGGTATTTTTGTATGTACCACAAGTCATATACTTAGTTCATTTAAATTCTTTATACGGAAATCAATCAAGATGCCTAATATATCTGCAATCAAAGGAAGCAGTGGGTGAGTTTTTAGTTTTTGGTGTTTTATTTTCATTTTGAAAGAGTTCTGAATGCTTTTCATAAATGTCCCCGTTCAAATTTTTGTTCAAAGATCCCCCAGAAGTATTTGGAAACTTCAGTAGAAATTGTTTAGCTTTTTTCATCTATAGTTACAATAGAATTACTGCAGATGCCTGTCTTAATATATTTTTTTAATGGTTCAAATATGACGTTCACTATTGTTAACATTCACTTTCAATATACCGGGTGTATTGTGAATTATATTTTCAAATTTATCAATTCATTGAAAGTTCATGAATGTCCTTTGAACAGAATCTTTTCGGAAATTATCCAGAAATGATTTGGTTTCAGGTAGGTATTACTGAATTACCTTTGCTTAATAGTGAGGTTGACCCCATGTAGAAACATTTTGTTATTAATATCTATACATACTAGTAGAAACATATCTGAATATTAACAAATAAACACAAGAAACAGGCTCATATAAAATATACATGTCATTGCAGTCAAAATGAAAAACAATGGAGAAATCAGCCAAATCGAGCTGAAAACCAAAGTTATCATATTAAGATCTTGAAAATATATACACAGATACATATATGAGCAAACATAACATAGAAACTTACATATATTCCCAAAGTGTTATCAGTCGATTGTGGCGGCGTTTCCGTGAAACTGGCAGTCCAGCCGAACAACATCCAGGGCGAGGACGTGCTACAACTGCAGTTCAAGACCGATTTTTGGTCTTAACCTCAAGAAGACAACCGACAATCACAGCACCTGAGTTGGTTAACGTGTTGCAGCAGACGCACCAGGTAACCATTGGTCGTGATACTGTCAGAAATCGACTGCATTAAGCAGATCTCCACAACAGAAGGCCACTAAGATGTCTTAGTTCAGTCTTTGGATTGAAATAATATCATCCATACCTCACCAGAATTGGGCTGGTTTTGTTTTCTGGTTACCTCTGTAAGAACACATTGTTGAAACTTTATTGGCCTTGCAAATATTTTGAAATAAGATCTCGAAAATTCATCTCTCCCAACTACCTACACCGTAGATTCTGGTAAATACCTGCCGGAAAACAACTACTTTCCCGGCACGTTGGATATTGAATTGGGACTTTTCGAGTACCTGATTTATAACCCTCGGAACTCTCACAAAGTTGTCAAAAAGCAATAGTTTTCACAATAACGATGAATATAATCTTGGAGGGATTGTAACTGTCACCAGAGTGGCATTTTTTACTGTATATCAGGAGTTTAGTTCACTTACAAGAAAGTTCGAGTAAATGGAGTATCTCAGTCAAAAATTACAAACATTGTCATTCTATAAAGTGTTTTTACTGTTTTCGATTTCTTTTAACCATTTTTGACATCTCTTTCAAATTAAATATTGCTATAAACTATTTGGCACACCACCTCTGTGTTGAAAGAACATTTCAATATATCACCTCATGTATATATCACCTCAGTAACTCATATATTTATATCTTTATCAACTAAGTAATGTGATATTGTTATAATATATTGATCGCAACATTATTTACTATAGAATGGAATAATACTACCGATAAAAATAGTGTCATCATATTTTCAAATAGACTTGGCGTTTGACGTCATGATATCTTTGGCACAGGGTGGTCCAAATAAAGTGTGTTTCTATTAAGTAAAAGGTTTATATACATGCCGTTTTTTTTTAGCGGAAACGGGAAGACCTACAAGGTCGGTTAAATTGGACAAAAGTTTCATATTTTGGGGAACTAGAATAATCTCTTTTCAGATCGATAATTTCAGTTGTTTTTGAAATATTCGCCAGTATTTCGTGTTTTGGCTCTACCCCCTAAGCACTTTTCATTACTGTTTCATATTTCTTTCAATATGATATACCCCAATTTGAAATGCGACGTTTCGTTCATTACATTCCATAATCAACTTCACAGATCTTTAGATTTTTTTCATGGATTTTATAGCCACTGTAATAACAGATTCGGATATGTTTTACAATACATGTGTTTCGACCTTCACTTCTTGGTACTAAGAAATTGATCTCGGGTAAAAGAACCGTACTGTCAATATTGTTGTTTAGTAATTTATGCAGGAATTTTATACCAAGGATAACTCTCCTATTTTCCAAAGATGTCATATCAAATCGTGTCAACAATATGTTATGATCGATGCCTCTCGTGGGGTTTTGACCATCAACTTTTAGACATAAGTATTTTAGGAACTTCCTTTGTACTGTCTCAATTGATGTTTTTTGGTAGTCGAAAACCGGATTCCATAACAAAGAGCCATACTCTAACTTAGATCTGGCATACGCAAAATATAGTAATTTTAAGGTGGCAATACTTTTGAAGTTCTTGCCATTTCATTAATAAAAATAAATAATAAAAGAGGTCCAAGATTGGAACCTTGTGGTACCCCAGATGTAACTACGTACTAGGCCGATTTGAAAGATTCACATTCGACGAATTGTTTTCTGGTAATTAGATATGATTCAATTAGAGTGAGCAGTTGGTTATTTGACGTAATGGTCTATTTGATCGAAGGCTTTTTGAAAGTCTAAATAAATAACATCGACTTGATTTTGCTCGTGCAGGTACGTACAGAGATATTGATTTAAACATGCGAGATTTGTCATACATGATCTTTGTTGTACGAAACCATGCTGTGTAGGAGAAATAAATTTTTGAATATGGGAGTTCATAGCATTTTGCACACATGTCTCGAAGAGTTTTGAAAAGTTACATAAAATTGAAATCGCCCTGTAGTTTGTGATATCGCTAGAGTCACCTTTTTTTAACATCGATCAAATTCGAGCCGTTTTCCACTGTTCAGGGAAGGCACAAGTTGATAAAATCAAGTTGAATATGCCTATTAGAGGTATAAAGAGAACGTCGATACAGTCTTTTATCACAAGACTAGGCACATTGTCAACGCCTGAGGTGAGTTTATTTCTTCAACGCCGCTTGACTGTAGGATAATATTTTTATTGACTTGTGTATGAGGTTGGATTTATCCAATTTCTCCGCTTATAATTCAATAGCATAAATTTCCGCTTGAAATACAGTCGCATAAGTTTATAGGCAGGTAGATAACACTGTCCTGGGTCTGCGACTGAAAACACCTGCACCAGAACCGGAAGGTGTTTTTGATCCATCTGTGAACCAACAACTATCTACTCTTAATATTTCCTTCTCCCGGAGGATCCAGTCATCTCCAATCTGGAACAGTACTTTATAAGGCAGTTCGTAGAAACCAATTAATATATCAACTACTTATAGGAATATAAATAATTCTCTAATCGCGCCTAGTTGTTAGAAAATGATCAGGAATCTACTCAGGAACAGCAGAGCTAGCGGGGCAGGCACAAACCTATTATACAATACAACTTTTTCAGATGAAAGTTCTTTCATGTTGAATGGTGAAGTGAACAGACATAATTGACGTTACTGGAGCGATATGAATCCTCATTTGGTGATAGAAACACATTCACAAACTCCACAAAAATTGAATATCTAGGCCGGCATTCTTGATAAACATATTGTTGGACCATTCTTCATTGAATGTGATCTCAATGGAGGCACATACTTGAATCTATTACAAAGCATACTGAAACAAACCCTGTCCATATATTTTCCAATTTGGGAATACCGAGAATTGAGTGATACATGAGAATTATACCCCAACCGGTGTCCAATTATACACCCGAATAGGTAATTTGATTTGGGCCAGACGGACAATCTTCAAAGAGTTATTTTATTGGGCAATTACGCAGCGATAGGCGTTCGAAACTACCTCAGCGAGAAATTTTCCGTAGCAGCTTTATCATAGCTATGATATTTATTCAGATTAGACATAATTGATTCAATCATATTTTGAGCCGGCAAGTTCAAAATAAATTTAGTCACTCTTAGAACGTCCCAGAGCGTGATTCAAGGTGTATTCGGCCGTCATTCCCGATCTTTTGAACTTTGATAAACTCAAAGCGATATCGATATTATGTTTATTCGTGAATTCGCAATCTTGTTTATATTTGGAGTATAAGAGATCGAGCTGTAGTATTGCCTCTATTTTCGAAGCTATACTGTCAGAATGAGGCCGTTACTTTTGGTACTTACGAAGAAGGAATTTCTCTTTTGCAGATTCACCGAGTTCGGGAAATTCAAGGGTTTGGCAAGCTGCAATGTGGAATTTTTGAATCAAGTGAGGGGACTGAGCGCTCTGAATGGAGATTTGAGAGATCTCCCTCCAAAGGTAAGATTATTAATAGTATATTCTATGCTTAACGAGCGAGAAATGTGGCCATTTCTCTCGAGTTGAATACTATACTTTTTCTATGACTTATTATTGGAATATTTTGAAATGCCGTTAAGTTTCCTAATAACAAGCAACCTGAAGAAGCGTTCCTTTGTTATTTCATCAATTTCAAATAGTTTGAATACGGGGTGGTTGAAAAAATAAAGTGAAGCCTGGTGACACTCGCGGTCACAGTTCTAACAACACCTCCAAGAAACAATTAACGAATCAGTATGACATGAAGCTATTTGGGCTTCTCTTCTTCATCTTTATACAAAAAAGTGGTTTCGAGAATATTTTTTTCTTTCGCGAAATTCAATATTCATGTGAAATTAGTTGTTTTGGGAGGATTTCCCCTTCCAATTTGTATATATCAAGTGTTCATTCCTGTGGAGTTTCCCACTTTTTTTGTATGATGACGGGAAGTCGAAAATCAAAAAGCTTTTTTCCCAAAAGATAGGTTACCCTGAAAATTTTACCCTTTTCTCCACTTTTTTTGTATGATGACGGGAAGTCGAAAATCAAAAAGCTTTTTTCCCAAAAGATAGGTTACCCTGAAAATTTTACTCTTTTCAATTCAGACTTGAAGCTATTTGAGCTTTTACCTATTTACTCTCATTCTGTTATCGAGTGACAAATTCGAAAATATAAATTGTTTTTCTCACATTACAAATTTCCAGAGACATTCTTGTTTTTCATTGGTCAACCGATTTGTTCGAAGGAGTTATGGGATCATTGCCTACTTACCCCCCCCCCTCAAATCGATCACGAAACACACATTTTTCAATAGACATAAGTATTTTTTTCCAAAACACAAATAAACATTAAATAAATCTGATAACTTTCACGGAAATAACACACTTGTCTTATTTAATCTTCACCACTTTTCTGGACAATATACTACAAGATGAAGCACTCATTTCATTCATAACATTACGACTTCAAGTCACGGATGACAAGAAATCTACCCACGATGACAGTACGTACGTAAAATACATTCATTCGCTCATTTGCTTTAATCTCGGCCATAGGAATCTTGTTTGTGTTTCTACGAGAGATGTATTGTGTTACAAATCTTCTTCTGACGAGATTTCATGTTCATACTCCCTAGCACAGTCGGGGTTCCCCAAGGATCTAATTTGGGGCCGCTGTTATTTTAACTTTTTATAGATGACACATGCGCTTCGATATAATCAACAAAGTTGATTTTTACTGATGATTTGAAGATTTCCAGAGAAATACGTGATTCATCTGATTGTATGTTGCTCCAGAGGGATTCAAACTCATTTCAAAAATGGTGTAATGAGGACAAACTCTTTCTCAGTGTTATGCTCGAATATTACATCCGTACCAGTTCAATTATACAGTTAATAATATTGACTTACCAAGAGTTAATGATACTCTAGACTTAGGAATCTTATTCGACAATAATCTTACATTCAATGCGCAATTTGAAAATATTGTTCAGAGAGCTTCCAAGTCGCTGGGATTTGTTATAAGAAACTGCAGAGAGTTAAAATGACAATGAATCATTCCTAAACTATTCAACATGATTATTAACTGTTTCTTGGTTTACTGATAGTGGAATCATTTTAATACTACTTGGTATTGTTATATTTTTTCTGCATTGCATACATTAAACACGCAATGTGCATGTTTTGCAGTTCTTCGATATCCTGCAGTAAAAATATAGGATCATATTTGACCTAGAGGAAGGTTATCCGCACAAATAAATTTAGAAATTGTTTGTTTTTGATGAATGTGGATTTCGTGAAGGAATTGGATGATACTTGGAAAAATTTCATAACGTTCAATTAATTTTTTATTGTGAGATTATCACTGGACAGTAGACAACGCAAACATTTTTTCTGTCAATTTTCTTCAAGAATTCTTTGGGGGGGGGGGTTGGTTACTGGCAGTCTGAATTTGAGTTCTTTGGGTACCAGATCCGTTGCGTATTCCGCCATCTTGAATTTTAGGGTTGATTTTTGTTCAAAACATGTCAAATTTCCTCAAACAACCCGATCGAGTTTACTCTGTACCTGGTTTCGTGATAAAACAGCAAAGTCAAACTTACAGCAACTCATTTCAGCAAGATTACGAGTTCAGTCCAGCGTATTGTAATTACCTATTCCATTTTGATATATAGGGTGTTTCAAATTCGATCCTCACCATTGGTATCTCGGAAACTATGAGAGATACGAAGATGGTTGAATTGTGCCAAAGTTGCGCATTTACCTGACTAACAATCTGCCGTTGAGAAAGTTATGAAATTTCGAGTATATCCGGAAATATCCGGAAAAAACAGAAATTTCCGAAAATGGTTTTTATTTTTTGTCTGGCTTTATTTTTCGAAGGATTCGAAAATGAATTGCACTTTCACATTGCCACTTCTTCTCTGATGATGTTTTCAGATTTACTATCCGAAGTTTCGTCTTCCGGCCACCGTCATCAACTTTATTTTTTCTTTTGGGCGCTACATTGGATTCTTTTTGTTTTGAATAGAACCAGATTTTACCTTGTCAATGATGTATCATAAGTTATCATTCTTTTTCGAAAAATTGGAGATATTGAAAAACATTAATCCTCATCACAATAGGCTTTGACTTTGATGTTTCTAAATTTGACTTTCAATTTGTTACACTCAATGACATTTTGTTATTGTACAAGTTATTGAATTTTTGGCGAAAAGTGGCAACGTGGAAGTGCAATTTATTTTACATACTGTGAAGCTACTGTTCTGTGAAATTTTCCCAATAATGTGTTACTAGAGTATGTGGACTGTATTACATCATTCAGAAACGTACAGTTCGGACAATTTTAAAATGAAATTCTGTATATTTGCAGTTGAAATCTTACGTGGAAGAAAATGTTAGACTTTGCCAGCCAGAAACAATCCACATTTGCGATGGAACAGATGTTGAAAACAGCAAACTGCTCAAGCTCATGCAACAACAAGGGACCATCGTTCCCCTCCCCAAATACGAAAACTGGTAAGAAAAATACACAACAAAATATAATAACAAACTCTTTATTGTTGCTATACCACAAGGGTGCATTCTTGGGCCGTTTCCTCAAGTTACGTATTGTTTCAGTTGGCTTGCAAGGACGAATCCAGCTGACACTGCCAGAGTTGAATCTAAGACTTTCATCTGCACCGATACGAAATCAGAAACGATTCCTTCACCAAAAGCTGGCGTGAAAGGAGCTCTAGGAAACTGGATGTCTCCACATGACATGGATAAGGCAATCAATGAGCGTTTTACTGGGTGCATGCGCGGTAGAACCATGTACATCGTGCCGTTTTCCATGGGACCGGTTACTTCGCCTCTTTCCAAAATAGGTGAGAAACACGAATGGAAAAAATCTGAAGGGTATAAATCAGGTTGATTTGGTGACTTAACTTGAGTAAGTGGCTCAATTGAGTTATTCTTGGTAGTGCCACTATTAGAGCTCATCAAAGTATGAACACAGCATAGCAAATGGGGAGTTCAAATCTAATAGTTTTGTTGGCTTTATTAAGATGATGAATTTTGAAAAGACTGAATAGGTGGAAAAAAGGTTTTGGTTTTCGGTGGGAGTCTTTCAAAGAAAGGAAAAAAGCAATAAATATATTCAAATTTCCAGACACAAACTGGATACAACAGTCCTCTCGAAACAACTAATTTAATTCAAATATTGAATTACACAAAAGAAAAATTACTTTGAAAATAACTGATTTTATACGAACGATGAATCACACAAAAACATCTCCGGAAAGGCTTTTTGCACTTTGACGTGATTACTCAACCCAACTTATATATATTAATTTGGATAAGAAAGTAAAAATTCACTGTAGAGTTACATCAGCCATTCAGTTGTTGCTTGAAAAATGTGTTGTTCTCAGGGGAACACTTTGGAAAAATCTGATTGAGGTTCAAATCTGGTAGATATGGTGAACCACTATTAAACAATGGCCAAAGGCCTGATCTGAACTATACCTTCATGAAAAAATCTCCGGGATAAATCTGGCAACCACTCTAAGCCAACTGATTTGGAAAAGAATAACCAAATTCCAGTAGTGCGAATCAAGTCAATCTATTGTGATTTGTTTCGTAGAATTAACACTGTACAAAATATGTTCAACATTATATGGGGTGTTTTACTTAATTATTAAACAAACAAAAATAACGAACTACAAAAACTAAAAACAATAATAACAAAAGTGAATAAGGCTCAGAATGTGGAGTGTACTCCAGATCACTGAGTGGGGAATGGGAAAAAATACCAGCGTGGTTCAAACAGAACTGGCTGGTATCTCAATCGCTACAAAAGAAATAACCAGGAGAGGAATTTCTGGCAAAAACATAACAATCCCAATGACCAGCCCTATTAGCCTTGAACAGACAATGTGTAACCTCAGGGCTAGTACTAGAGTGCCACCAAGATTTAGCCAAAGCCTCGATAGATAATAACATTATCCTAAGGCGGGTCAAAAGGTACGACAGGAGTAAAGGTAATCGCATTGCCGATTCTTTAGCCAAGGAAGCAGCTGGACTAAGAATTTTAGGACCCAGTGGCACTTACGGCCTGATGACTTCGACAATTGTGGAACTAGGTAAATGTTACACCTGTGCTCAATCCCTAAAGAGATGGGATGGAATCAAAGGATGCTATCTTGCTAGGATCATCTTCGGTAACCTTGGGAAGCTGGTGTCGAAGAAATATCTGGCGATGACCAGAAAAAATCTAAGCTTAAAACAAGGATTTCTGACTAGCCACTGTCAACTAAGGAAATACCTCCATAATATGGGGCTAGTGGACACACCTCTATGCAGGATGTGTGAACAGGAACATGAGACGGTCAGGCATGTCCTATGCGAGTGCCCGGAGTTATCGTCAATAAGAGAGTGTGTGTTCGGCTAGTCTTGGCCTACACCTGCCGATATAAAGAAGATGTCTCCCAGGGACCTGTCCACCTTCCCGGAAAGGACAGGATGGACGATGACCTAGGAGGGAGGACAACTCCTAGGGAGGATGTACAATGGGTCACATGTGGCCTAAGTGCTGTGGACTTACACTAAAACTCCCTACTCTACAGATACAGACAGAACACCAGCGAATAAACTAAACACAACTTCAATTTCCGATCGTTTATTATAACTAATCCGCTGCACGTGGTACTGTCAAATCCGTCGATACTACAGCACTGAACACGTTGGATGAGAATCTCATCCTAAGAACGGTTGAAGGTCCCCGGCAACTCGGGCGGATCAAGTGATAAGAGAGCCTACTGGTTGTATTATTCTACTGTGATATGGTGGTCCATATCAATTTCAGAGGTCATAACTTTATCGAAATGTCCATTGGAGTCAAATCTTGTGTAATCAAATGTTTTACTGTAAATTGATTATTTGGGAATCCGTACTTTTCATTTCATATATTTAATTTTTTTATCTATCCTCACGTCTCAACATTAATAGAATTCCAATAATTCAAGCAAGTTTCTGGGAGTTCTGCAAGGTTCACTTCCTGATCCCATATTTTTTCGAATACATGTCCACGATATTGGAAACCGTTTCTCACTAGTTTTTCTTCCAGGCATCGAAATAACCGACTCACCTTACGTCGTGGCTTCTATGAGGATAATGACAAGAATGGGCCTACCAGTCTTGGAGAAGCTTCTCAAGGGGGCGGAGTTCGTCAAATGTTTGCACTCGGTCGGTACCCCGTCTAACGGTATCATCGAAAACCCTAGCTGGCCATGCGATCCAGAACGTACAATTATTTTGCACCGTCCCAAGAACAACGAAATCGTTTCTTATGGCAGCGGGTATGGAGGAAACTCTCTATTGGGAAAGAAATGTTTCGCGCTTAGGATTGGGTCTACTATTGCCAGAAGAGAGGGCTGGCTTGCGGAGCACATGTTGGTGAGTTTGAATGGTTGGTTGGGTGGAAGAGCAATTTCTGCCTTCAATTTTTTTTAAAGCCGTAAGAAAACGCTGAGAAACTCTCAATGAAAGCATTCATTATTATTATTATTATTATTATCATTTCACCGTAGTGTGGCGCTGGTCAGGCCCTATCCCCCGAAGCCCCGATACATTCGGAAGGGCGCGCCAGCATTATCAACCAATGACCACTCCCCACACCGTGGGGTAAGTGATCATTGGGTCCGAGAAGCATGTGCCCTGAGCAAGGGCAGTGAGCCAAGAATCACAGCCTTCTGCATCTGTGCGGCTAAGATTTCTGCCTTAGTGCGGCAAGCCGGTATGATTTAAAGATTCGAGAGTAGAGAGGACATCATNACAGTCCTTAGACTTCCACCCTACCACTGCGAATTAAATCCAATTGAACTCATTTGGGCACAAATGAAAAGCTATGTGGCTAGAAAAAATACGTCATATAAAATACAAGCTGTACGTGAATTGTTATATGAGTCTTTACAACATATTACAGAACAAAATTGGCGAGATGCAGTAAGACATGCAATAGAAGAAGAACAAAAAATGTGGGATCTTGACAATATAATTGATGCGACTGTAGAGACACAACCGCTAATTATTAACCTGCAAGACGACTCGGATTCCGAAGATGATCCTGTTTATTTTGAATTTGAATAGTTTTGTAAGTAATCGTAGTTTATATCATTTAAAAATAGGTATTAATTAAATAAATGTATCTTTTACAAATTGCAAGTAACTTATTATTTTTGAATAAAATAAAGAAATTTTTTTAAAATAAAAATACAGTTTACAGTACCTACAGTTTAAGAATATTAATATATTTATTTATTTAAAGTAACTAATGTTTTAATCATATACTCTACGACACTGGTCACTCATTTCCACTCAAAATACCTACATAATCGGATTAAAAGTTTTATAGCTGTATTGTATTTCTTCAGATACAAGGTGGGTTAGTCGAAAACATCTTAAACTGCCAGTTTTAGTTTGGTTTTTGTTATTATATCATATTAGCTGTCCTCTCTGTATTTGAGTTCTCTAATGAGGGTCAAACTTGCAATGAGCTATCAACAAATTATGAACGGACTAAGAATAGTCAGAATTCTGATGAAAGTTCTAAAAATGAATTGGCGGGATAATTAAGTGGCATATTGTTTTAATATCGAAAGCACTTCGATGTGATTCTGACATAATCATTTTAAAACTACGTAAAACGTTATAATTCTCGATTTTTGATCCTGAGAAATGAAAAAAAAAATGGACCTGAATAGGAAGACTAATTCATGGAATTTGGTGTTCTATTCTCGTATAGTAAAGTAGCCTACGAAGTCGCCATCTATGGGATAGATAGAAGACTCAATCGTCAAATATTAAAGAAAATGAGACTCCCTAAGGAGCTGATGTTCCCCAAGGATCTATATTAATTGTACACCTCGAACTTCACTGTTCAAAAACTCTTTCATTTGGAGAACTACGTTTACGTGGAATAAACTTTCTGAGAACATTTTTCCAAATGGATTTAATCTCCATTTGAGGATTTTCCTGTAGTGCTTGTGTTTTGCCTTGAAAAAATAGTTCCATGATTATATAGTAAACAAATACATCAATAAAATGAGACATTCTAAAATGATTGTTTCGAAGTATTCAGTAATATATGTTGATTTATTTTTCAGATTTTGGGAATAACCAGCCCCAGTGGAAAGAAAAGGTACATCGCTGCTGCTTTTCCTTCAGCATGCGGAAAAACGAATCTAGCCATGATGACTCCTTCGTTACCAGGGTACAAAATTGAATGTGTCGGGGATGACATTGCATGGATGAGGTTCGACAAAAATGGCGTTTTGAGGGCTATCAACCCAGAAAATGGATTCTTTGGAGTTGCTCCAGGTAATATTTAATACCTTAAAAATCAACTCAAACTTCAACTAGAAGAACTTTAGATAAGTTTGTCAGTCATGGCCTGATAACTAGTTCAACAAGTACTTCATTTCAATTGGACATTCTCGGAAGCAGGTGCTGTCACCATGTGGGAGCCACAGGGTTCGATAACAGGGCTTCTACTTTTCATTGTATATATATCAATGATCCACTAGCTAATCTTCCTTCTACAGGTTGTGTGCTATATGCTGCCAATACAACCTTGGCTAATAGGAATGAGGATTGGAACAATCTTCAGCTCAATATGTACGAAACACATTTGAGAGCCCCACAGTGGTTTACTGCAAATCAACTATGTCTTAATGCATGTAAAACAAAGAACTGCAAATTTACTCAACGTAAGCTTATTGATGATCAACAGGCTGTGAAATTTCTGGGTTTATAGTCCGTTCATAATTTGTCGATAGCACAAAATGAGGGCCCAAGTCATAAAACGGTCGTAAAACTCGTAAAATCATAGGCGGAGGTTCCTGAGGTGTTTATTCATTAAATATAAAGCTTCAGTTTATATTCAAAACTTGCCTTGAAAGGGTGAAGTTGTTACGAACGTAAGGAATTCCCTAGGGTTCAATATTGAGGCCTGTGTTATTTCTGATATATGCGAATTATTTATTCAGCTTTCTTCAAAATCACTCATGAGAGCTAATTAAATTAATTAATCAACACCAAAACTTGGAATTCGATGATGGTTGAATTCCTTGACACAGTGAACATGCTTGGGTTGATAATAGATAACAAACTGTCCCGGAATCCCCATATTGATATGCTATGCAACTAATTGAAGAAATTGCTTTGTACTCGCACTACATGCCACTGTCATAAAAAAATCTAGTGATTATCATGCCAATATCATCTGCCAATTACGATATGGCATTCTTGGCTGAAGCACATCTTCATTTTTGTCTAAAATTTGTCGCATTTTATTGTACAAAATACCAAAAACACTTTTTCTTCTCATACATTCACAGCCTGATGCAAATCATGAAACCTGTACCTATTTAAGCCTCTCACATTTCCATTTAACCTAATATGGGGACCTTCACTACACTGTTTCAAACTATTTGGCCTTCAAAGACACTCCGTTAGAATAATGAATGGCCTTAGTTTTCAAGCAGAGGTGAAGGTTTATGTTAAGATGAACAATATTATGACACTGCTTCTTATGGATCCACCTTTCTGGAGAGGACTGGATGGGCGATGACCTAGGAGGACAACTCCTCGGGAGGATGTACAATGGGTCACTTGTGGGCCTACAGTCCCCCTCCCTACTCTACAGATGGCATTAATAGGTGAATTGATGGATGTAGCCCCTGACTACGTGGTAGGAGATAATCAACAACAGCTGTTTCAAACTAATGAAGAATTTCGATGATATATCACACACACTTCGTTTTATTTGAATTTAAAGATGGAAAGCGCCTAATGAAAGACAATAGGAGAATTATTACTCAATCGATGACATTTTTAATGCTGATCTGGGTTTCTACTGTACAGAATTTGACAATTTGTTTGATAATTTTACCATAAATTGGTTACAGTGTATGTACTTTCGTCTTGATCGATTTATTTTAATGGTAATTTTTATGATACTTAAAATGTATTATACTATTTCACCACATTTTTGACGTGTGTGAAATCTTCATGATCAGAAGCCTAAGTAGGATGATCTATCATCTAATTTAGGCTTCAAAGGCTGTAGTTTCAGGATTCTCAGCATTACATAAAAATTGTTGGAAATGTTTTTCCTTTCTTTGCAAGTTTCCCACAATTTTTGTTCAATGAAGGAGAAACAGATACGAAAAAGACTTTTTCTCGAGTGTATTTTATTTTTCGCTCATTCAAATATGCTTTACTGATTCTTCGATAATGACCTAAACCTTTCTTCTTACAGGTACATCCAGAAGCAGTAACCCAATAGCGATGGACACAATCTTCAAGAACACCTTATTCACAAACGTTGCATCAACCAGTGACGGAGGAGTGTTCTGGGAAGGCATGGAAAAAGAAGTCTCCAGTAATATGGAAATAACTGATTGGCGAGGTAACAATTGGAAGATGGGACAAAGCAAAACTCCTGCTGCACATCCAAACTCAAGGTGAGGGATTCAACTTTTTTGTGAATACACTCGGCCATTTACTTTAATCAATTATTTAAAAAGACATGTTTTGAAAGTAACTGAAAATTTTAGAATTCTCGGTGATGAATAACTAATTTTTGCAGATTCTGTACCCCAGCAAAACAATGCCCCATCATAGACCCAGCTTGGGAGCATCCCGAAGGAGTCCCAATTTCAGCAATATTGTTTGGAGGGCGTAGACCAGCTGGTGTACCTCTTGTATACGAAGCCAGGAACTGGAACCATGGGGTTTTCATCGGAGCTACGATGAGATCTGAAGCTACTGCAGCTGCAGAACATAAGGTGAGTAAACTGCACAGGATCTTATCATTCGAATAATATGTGATAAAGGTATATATAAAATAACAGTTATTTTATGTTTTCAAAACTTGTTTAATCCTACTTCTGTTTTAAAATAACTCAGCAAAACATTCATATCAGTTTTAAAGGACAACCTACAAATAACAAATCAGTCACACCAACCTACCTGATTTCCAAATTAAAGGTATCGTAGAAAAGTTGGATTCTGATGTATTCATTGCAGAATAATATGCTGTTATCTATTCTTAGGCTTGTCTTACTCCACAAGCTGTTTGCTATAAGCTAAGCTATTGAATAAAGTCAAATTATAAGCATCGGCAAGGCCGTCAGAGAGCGCTGAAGGACGAGAGGTCAAAACGTCAGTTTGAAATTTGAACAGCTATTTATGTTCATGAGAGATGGGTTCGATTTTGGCTTGTTTCAACGATTTTGAGTTTGTTTTGCCACGTTTTGTGAAAGTGGGGCTGAAAAGTTGGTAGGTTAACATAGAGTCTGAAAATGGTTGTTCATTACACCTCATTTTAACTTGGCAAACCACTTATCAGCGGTTGATTTCTCTAGTAGCGCCATCTGTGTATTAGTCTACGAACTTTTTAGCACGTCTATATTGTCTTACTTGCAGTAACATAATTATCATAAAAATCTATACAGTGCGGTCCATATGTAAGGAATAAATTCATTTTTAGCGTTATTAAGTACTATGTGAAAAAAACCTGAAACAGGTCGATTTTTATTCTTAAATTGACAATTTACAGTATGAAAATATTATACTCTTCCAACACCCCTTCTGAATTATAAGCACCTTAAATAGCAAAGGGGGTCATGTGGCACCTTGTTGGAAAGGGATTTTAGTCCTCTGTTCAGCAATATCAAGTTTTTTAAGTTTGGTGCAATCATAACTGAGAAAATTAATTTTTACAATTAAATTTAATTAATTGTAAAGTACATTGAAAAATACATTCTAAATATTATGTTTCATTATCATCTTCATTCTTCGTAAAGTTTTGTGATACCAGAGACATTATCAAAATTTTACATCCTAAAAATCAATTTTCTCAGTTATGATTGCACCAAACTTAAAAAACTTTATATTGCCGAACAGAGGACTAAAATCCCTTTCCAACAAGGTGCCACACGACCCCCTTTGCTATTTAAGGTGCTTATAATTCAGAAGGGATGCTGGAGGAGGATAATATTTTCATACTGTAAATTGTCAATTTAAGAATAAAAATCGACCTTTTTCAGGTTTTTTTTACATAACGCTAAAAATGAATTTATTCCATACATATGGACCGCACTGTATATTATTTTCGGATTATTTTCAACGAAGGAATTACCCTGAACTGTTTTTTTTTTCAGGGAAAAGTTGTGATGCACGATCCATTCGCCATGCGACCATTCTTTGGGTACAACTTTGGTGACTACTTGAGCCACTGGCTTTCAATGAAAGAACGATCTGACAACTTACCAAAGATATTCCACGTGAACTGGTTCAGGAAGGACCCCAACGGAAAATTCCTCTGGCCTGGATTCGGAGAAAACTCCAGAGTCCTGGACTGGATCTTGAGAAGACTGGATAATGAAGACTGCGCTAGAGATACTCCCATAGGATTGATTCCTAAGGAGAATTCTCTGAACCTGGAGGGTATTGAGGAGAATATTGACGTTAAGGAACTGTTCGATCTACCCAAGCAGTTCTGGATGGAGGAAGTTGATAGTGTTGCCAAATATTTTGACGAGCAAGTCGGAGATGATTTGCCTAAAGAGATTACGAAGCAGTTGAACGAACTGAAGAAGAATGTTCAGAGCATGAAAGATTAGACTGAAGATGGTGTAGAAGTATTGAAACTAGCTCTACTTTTAGTTCCATTTTTTACTTGTAATTTTGAATATGTTATTTTAAATATAGATGCCAAATTGAACTTCTGTGTGTTTCTGGTTCCGATGGAGTGTGTGTTATTCAGTGGATTATTTGCAGTTGGTTGTAAAAGGCAAATAGTACTTACCCAAGTAGCTCATTTTGATTCGAATATTTTATATTAAGGATGGTTTCTACATTCAACTAGCGACCAGACACGACTTCTCAATGGTAGCAGAATATATAAGCCTACAATTTTCTTCTGCCATAGAGTTACACCAATTTGTCCATGAATAAGGTTCCGGTTTTACCAGAACATTTTTTTGAAGATATAGGATCTGAAATTTCACCCTCTGGAAAGCCCTAGAATAATCCAGAACATCACGCAACTTTCTGGAATGTATTGGAATGTTCGTGGATAATCTGGACCGTTTGGGAACATCCAGATCATTTTGGAATGCCTAAAGAAGCCATCAGCTGTATGTTGTGGTAGTCCTTTATCCATGAAAAAGGGTTTCATGCTTTTGAAGAAATGCAAGGCTAGAATTTTTGCCTCTAGACATTTCTTGAACAGTCCAATACATTCGACAGTTATCAAAAGCTTTCTACAACTTCCCAGAAAATTCTGAAATGTTGAGGAGTTATCTATAATATTCGATAATATCCTGGATGTTCCTAGATTAAAATGCAACAATCAAGGAATTTATTGCAGTGTATGCCTTACACCCCTTATCCAAGAAGACTTCCCATTTTAACTGAAGGATGTGTTTCTGGGCTGGAAGTTAGCCTTCTAGAAATTTCTAGGGTAGTCCAAAACATTCGAAAGTATTCAAAAACATTTTACAACATTAGAGTATTAGGGATCAAACCGGGAAATTATGAAATGTTCTGAAATATTCTGCAAAGGTCGGGAACATCTAGGAATATCCCAGATTATTGTTGGGTGTATTGAACATAATCTGTCCGTACTTTATAATTCTGAAATAGGTGAGTACCTATCTACCTAACGACAACACAAAAAAATGCGATAATAATCTTAATTCACTAAGTAAAACAAAGTATTCCTTGAAATACATTTTTTGAGGAGGTTATAAACACCAAAAAAGCAGTAAGAAAAAAAGTTAAACAAAACTGATGCAGTTAAAAGCATTTTTCACCAGGCTTGTCGCATGGGTTTGTCAGGCCACTTGAACTCATTTTCTTGCGCGACAGTTTTATTTTGCGATGATTTCAATTGTGTAGTTTGTAAAAGGCAGTTTTAATGTACATGAAATACTTGAGGTAACTAACGTATTTGTATAATAGAAAATTGACATGAGTAGAGTAGAGTAATTTATTTGACCACTTTATATACAAAATACATGCAAACTAAACTTCTCTGAAGACGTGAAATACCTTGGTACTATCCTTGACAGGAAGCTAACATGGAACTCTCACCTACAGAGTAGAGCAAAAAGAGCATATGTGGCTTATGAGCAATGTCGGAGGACAGGGCTTACATTCATTTGGATTTATGTATGCCTTTTTGTGATCATTGTACCTTTGGATCAGTTTTTTCTTGGTTTGGCTGATATAGAATTTGTTGCAGTCCGAGCATTGTATACCTACCCAAAACGGGTAGGTATACAATGTTTCAGAAATTGTTAACAATAATAATGAAATTAAATTAATAAGATTAACCACTTCATTTAGTCTTATTTGATAATTTCGAAGTACCTACTCCACCAATTTTTTTCGAGTGTCAATGCTTTTTTGGTATTTTTCATCTATATTGACCATCACAAGAAATTTTCAAACAGAAAAATCATATCGCAACCTTCATGAAATAAAAGGCATATGGTTTCAAACGTTTCATTAAAAAAGTGATATTGTACAATTCATACCTAGTCTAAGTGAATCAAATATAGGACGCATTCTCAAAAATATTAATTTCTTTGGTTTGTTTAAATTCTTTTCGTAAAGTTAAGGCAATCCCTATATGAACTACGAACACATAAATGAGAAAATCACTCTTTTCAAGAACACTTAGTGTAGTAACAACAGGCACGAAGTGCTGCAAAAAATATGTACACATGAAAATAAAGTAACATCTCACATTTCGCAGGACCGGGTTCAGTTGGCTCGGAGACCGGACCTGTGCATTATATCTCAAGAAGAATTGATGTTCGATTCAATCACCACTTTATTCCTATTTTCAATTTCCGTAGCTTCAAAGCTGTTCCAAAAATTTTGTCCCAGAACATGCTGCTTATGCCAAATCCTACAAAGATAATATAATTATAAGTTCAGTATCCGTTAGATCAGGAGTATATTTGACTTATGGTTCTTGCCCAAAACTGTAAATATGTACGAGGCCGCGCAGGAATTGTTGATCCAGATTTGTGAAAAACTGTTATAACAGATGACAAATCATGCGTAAACGGTTATGACACCGAAATCCGAAATCAAAGTCCAATCGTCCCAATGGAAGAGCCAAGGACAAAAATAGAACGCCACATGGTCGTACGGTCAATAAGGAGTATTATCTTGAAGTCAGGGCCATCGCCATGGGGGGAGAAGTCTCTCTCCTGCTTTTTGGACTTGGGAAAAAGTTGGAAAATTTTGGGCCGTGAAGATAGAAAAAAATAATCAGAAGGCACCCATTCGCCATTTTGAAAATTTCATCTGTCAATTTCACTACAAAATAAAGTATTCATGCATTAATTTCATTATCCCAAATTTCAATTTCTTGAGTTGACCCTATCAAAAAATAAAAGGGGGGACATTAAAGAAATGCACATTATGAATGTTGTTTCGTGCTTTTTCTTCCAGTTTGTGTCTGAAATTTTCTTCATTGAATGAACATGTAAAGAGTTTATTTCGAAATTAATTGCTTTTTTCTCTCTTTGGCAGAGTCCCAGTTGTTTTTCGTATAAGGATGGATAAGTAGTAAGACAAAACTTGTCTTCCCCAAAAATTAATCTCTCCCAAAAATATACCGTTTCAAATTTTATTTTTCAATTACTTATGATACGAATTGGATATCTTCAATCAATCCCAGTGACAAGGTTAAATTAGTTTTCTGTAATTTATCGATTACACTATAATTGTTCGACCTTCTGAACAATTCATTAAGATTTTTCATAGCGTGTTTGATTATTGCACGTAGTGTTTTTGTTGTTGAATATTCTCCCACATGAAACCGACGTGGGGAATTAGGAATCTGATATGGAATGTTGCTTGCAATCGTGAAAATTATAAGTACGGTCAAGTCAACATTTCAAATATTTCCTCATGAAAATGACATCATTCAACATGAATAAAAAGGAAGGTGAAGTAAAGAAAGATAGTAATGAAGTTTAATTATCACAAATTGAACGATGTTACATAAATTCCTTAGTATAAAATGAAGGTATAGTGTACAATCGACTACCTGACTATTAAAACTATGAAAACTTATTTCATGTTGAGGTATGGATAATGAGAAAGTAAGCAAAAACCATAGCAATGTTCTTTTTAGACGGTATCTTTTAAACAACTATAAATGACTTCCGTGGCAACGTTAACACGCCTTGTCAACTTGTTTTGTTTGTTGCAACATTAGTTGTCATCAGTATTTTAATTTAGGTTTAAAGTTCGTTAACTTCAAGTCTGACAAATGGTTAGATTAACGGAAATGCATAAAATGACAGTTTTACAAATGCTTGGTTACGGAGATAAAACCCGAACACAACAGAAAGTAGCTCGCCTATTTCATGAGAAATTTCCTAATTTACCGCCCATATCTTAAGAAACAATGAGCAAAATAGAGAAGCAGTTTCGCGAGCATGGTCATGTGGGCTGATAAAAAAAGCAGCTGCCAATGCAATGAGTGATGCACTCAAATTAGATGTGTTGCTTGAGTTCGAGGAAAACCCACATACATCGAGTAGACAGGCCTTCACTACATTCAATGTTAGCCATACACCGATAGTAAACATATTGAAAGAAAATAAAATGCATCCCTATAAAATGATACTTACTCAGGAGCTCATGGAAGACGATTTTGACAGAGAAACTTATTTTTGTGAGCAAATGACGGACATGTTGAATAACAATACCATCTAATTGGAAGACGTTATGTTTTCTGATGAGTGTACTTAACGATCATGATAATCGACAGAATTGCTACTACTGGTCAACGGAAAATCCTCACTGGATGAGAGAAGAATACACGCAATACCCTCAAAAGGTTAACGTTTGGGTGGATATCGTAGGAAAACATATCATTGATCCCTTTTTCATTGAGGTCGATAATTATTATTTGGCACTACTTTAAAATGATGTCATTGGACTGCCAATGGGATCGCCACTTTCACCAGTCATAGCCAACATATATATGAAGTAGTTCGAAACTCTGGCAATCGAAGAAGCCCACAAGAAACCTCGAGTCTGGTTGAGATATGTTGACGACACCTTCATAATATGGAACCATCATTCTTACCGAGATCATCGTGTGCAAAATGATGTTGATTGTGGTACCTTTTCAGATGATAAAAGTAACCATTTTCTTTCGGCGATCCATGGTGAAGGTAAAAATGAATCATATCATAGATCACATAACCTGAAATTAATTACAACAGTAATTTTTGTGTTTGACTGAAAACACTGATGCAAATATTCAAGAGTGTAAATCTATAGGGATAAACGTTTATCAACTGTCACTGTTTTGACGAAACACTTTGTATTTTCTTGAAAGGTACTTTTCCGGACCACACTTCATATCATTATTTTTTCATACAGATTTACAATCTTGAAAATTCGCATACAATCAACGAACGAACACCTTGTATGTGGAAAAACTGATAGAAAGGAGTTAGATACAGACCAAGAAATAATATTGGTCGTTATGGAATTTATTGATTAACAGTGCATCGACACATTTTGAGTGAATTGTTGATATTGAAAATAAATATTAACTCACCTGCCAATCCCCCTGCTAAGACCAGTAGTCTATTTGAATCAGGTATCAACACGGATAACGTTTGATACAAGGTGAAAGCGATGATTGCAGCTGGAAACGGAGGGAAAACTAACCTTTTTGGGTCGAAAGGAACCTGAAATTGATAGAAATATTGATATTGTGATGCTTATAACAAAGCTGAGTGGCGATACAATAATAAAAAGGTTCAATTCCATGAATTCGAAACTAATTGTATGTGTTTCCTTTCTGATTCCCTTTCTCGATGCCTATTTGCGCTATACAAAGATCCTACCTGCATATTTCATGTTTTACTGATATAGGTAAGCAGTTGGTCAAGAGTGTCGAATTTGTGAATTTCATTGAACCATCGATTAAATACACCTCTAAAATAGAGGTAAATAATCCAGTACATTTCCTTATATAGCCTAAATATCCTCAGAATAGTCCCTCAAATTTTTGCCGCATGGTTAATAAACACCCTGTATAAACTACGAATTGATTATAGAATTCAGTCAGTAGAACACGCTTGACGAAGCTATTGTATAGCGAAACACGTACACTGGTTTCGTAAACTATCAAGTGAAAACCTCACAATGACGTGTTTCTTGAACTTTCCAAGAAAGTTGAATACTATCCAGTGGTAACCAATCAAAAACTGACTTTTACTACTAGTCAATCAAGCATATCAGTAGCATTCTCAACAGAGCTCCATCGTCAATGAACAAACTTTGATAATGTCTATATTGAAAATACTCACTTTGTGGTGCAATCCGTGTATCACAAAATGAAAATAAATCATTGCTTTCGATTTGCCGGAGGGTTCTATATGAAAAACCCACCTGTGGAGGGAATATTCAATGAGGGTCCATAAAATGACGCCTTCTACTACACTTAACGCTACTGGTCCCATTGGCGTGGAATCTGGAAAGGAAATGTATAATGTATTTTGCAATACCTTCACAATAAACAAATTATGTTCAACATTTGTTTTCGTGTCAATTTTGGTTTGCTTGAATACCTTGTTCAATGATACTCGGGGAGCTGATATGAGATTCTGTGTCAGTTGGGATAAAAGGACAAACTTCAAAGGTCAAAGATGTCAAAGGATCTCACTTTAGATATCCCTACCAACGGATAGCTTCACACATATGAAAATGGTGCCAATAATCAGAAATGTTCTAGAATATCCACAGCTTCCGAGACTGTTTTGAGATGTTTCAGGAGGATCCCGAACGTTCCAGATTATTCCCAATAACTCTATCCCATATCAGAATGTTCTGAACTTGGATGAAGTACGAAAACTATCAGATCTTACAGCCTTATACTGTTTCGAATTATATTTAACCTTCAACATTAATAGATTCACCTCTGATGGTTCGAAGTTTATCCTTTTATTCCAACTGACACACAGTCTCATATCAACTCCCTGGGTAGACCCGGATAAAACAACTAACAAAATTGATATTTATAAAATAAATTGGAAGACGAAAAATTCCTAGGCTAACACACAGTTAGTACTAGTATTAAATCCATATGACTCTTAGTTAACTTCAACCTTCGAAAGACACTATTAGTTTTGAGTGAAGCAACTTCTGTTAGTTTGAAGAAAATGTGCCTTAATGAAGCATTGCTTTTTGGCAAAAAAATACTGTTGAAACCAAGACTTGGCTTGATAAACATTATTAGGACTTTTCACCACAAAATTTTTTATATTCGAAGGCAACTATCTTGATAAATGAAATCAAAAACATATTTTTTCAGCCCAATTGTTTGAAACTGACTGCGGACACAATCAATACGATGTCACCTGCAATAGAACTTATTAGGTCGCATCCGTGATGATATAATAGACCAAATAACTGTAAATCAAAACAAAAGCGGTCTCAACATCCTTCCTTGCGGGACACCGATTGTTAAGGACTGAAATACATATATTAGATTTTGCGTTTACTCAGGTTACTTCCGAACTCAGTATTTTGGGTAACCAGATTTTTGTTCCTCAAGGGTTTTTCTACTGATCATAATATCAATTGAAATGTTTGAATAAGGGGCTTATTTCTCTGAATCTATTATGAAATGATTTGTTGAATTTTTTTGATATCTTTCAGCCTTCCAAAGTATCAAATTCTGAATTCGATATGCTATACTTACCTTTAGTGATTTGTACGTATTTGTTCGTTCCGATTATTACAAAATAAATGATTATTGGGATCCATACCGAAGGTACGACATACCACGGCGTTATTGTCAGGTGTTCCAGTATGGGATTGCCAAATAATCGGAGATTTCTATCTACAGGTGACGTCACCCATTCGTAGTATTTTGTTCCTAACTTTGCAACTTGACCAAGCATGGGTTTGTCCCAGTCCACTAGTTTCTAAAAAAAAAAATACAACTATTAGTGAAACAAGTAAACCGGATGTTCTAGATTTGGAATATGGTGACAATAATTCTATTAATCCATTTCAGAACATACATGATATAGGAACGGTCTATTATCTTAAGCGAGCATCAATATGACTTTCGGAAAAAAGATCAACAGGCAACCTTCAAGGCGACTTTTGAGTTTGACAGAATGGTACGAGATGGAGTAAGTGAAGTCTTCAGGAGTTTGAATCTCCTTCTTTGCAAGGTCTACTTTTGACTGTACCCCTGTAGCAGGGGTCCGTGTGTTTCGCTCAATAATAGAGTGGCCTTCTCAAGCATTCGAGTTGTGTCTAGTGTATCGACTTAGATCTGGCCTGCGGAGAATCCAATTGGATTGATTTTCGAAGGCGAAGCAGCTCATGGGAAATCTAGAAGCATTTTTGCGTCCTACTGTGTCGTGGTATACAGGACATTCTAACGAAAACTTGACCCCCCCTCCTATAAGTCAGAAACAGACGTGCAATCGAAAATTTCAATGAACACGTCAATTTCAATTTCTAGAGGGATTTATTCTGATATGGAAATCATACCTGAAACTTCACCCCTCTGCGGTCAGAAATTACCCCCTATTTTTTTCAATGGCATTTCCCAAAATCGGGAATATCTTGCCAGGGGTGTATTTTAGGTATAGGACATTTTTCATGGATTCTATTATTTTTTTTTCGTAGTATCCAAAAATAATAGAATAGTGTATGGTTTCCATTCGAAAAAATCGTGTTTCATCAGTTTTCTCGATGTTATGTTTTAGGTGGAAATTTCCACCTAAAAATTCGATGGACCTGTTCGTGACTTGATGCTTAAGGTGTGATTCTGTGAAATTTCACATTTTCAACTGTTACTGTCTATGAGTTATGATGTTTTCGGTGTGGTGCTGTAACTGTCAAATTTTTCAGAAAATAGCTTGATCTGCTTATGTCATCGATGACATCGTAATGACATTCATTCACCTATTTGATTCAATCCCAGCCAAGAGGAATCTTATTTGATTGAAGAGGTTATATTTTTTAGGAGTGAATAATTTATTTACAATTTCTTGAGGTGTATTGTCGAAACTAACGTCCCCACCCCTTTAAATGGAACAAACACAAATCATTTGTCAATATTTGGATGTTTTTCCAACTCACTTCAATTAAGGCTGTGGGCTTTTAACCTAATTTGCTGAAAACTTCTGACTCGCATGTCTATTTTTACTTTCCGAAAGAATTCTCAGATAAAGAATGGCTCGAGCCATCTGTTTTGTGGGCCTGCATTCACACAACTGGGTTAGAGGGCGAATTCTACTTTGATTCGGTCATAAAATACATCGTTAGATTAAATGGCCCATAGAATAGATTCAAATTGGGTTTATAGCGTTATATATGCTGGTTTCTGCCACTGATATGAATTTCATGCAGTGGTTCCCTACAGATTCATTAGGGGAGACAAATCTGTTGATCGTGGTGGCCATACTACTTCTCCCAATATAGTGCCGTGGAAAATGTTGATCCGAATCATCAGCATGATAGGGGTCACTTGAAATTTCAGTAGTAATATGAACTTCCGTTTAATTGTGATGATAATAATAATAACTTAACCTAACCACTCTGGCCTACTCATTTCGACGTAATTTCTGATCAAGCTAGAGTCCGAACAAATTTGCCCCTTCCAAAAAAGGGTGTATTTCAGGGCGACCCCCCCCCTCTCCCCTTCTTCATTGCATTTCATTATTGCCATACTCAGGGTATAACAATGGAACCGTTGAAAACCGGAGTCATAAAGTCACTCATTAGTTTCATATGGTTGATCTTGAACCTCGTACTTCTGGAGAAAAGGATAGCTATCAGTCCTTGATATCAAAAATCACGGAGAAAACTGTGAACCAACATATCCTCAAGTATTTGAGAGGCTTTAATATCTTAAGCGAGCATCAATATGACTTTCGGAAAAAAGATCAACAGGCAACCTTCAAGGCGACTTTTGAGTTTGACAGAATGGTACGAGATGGAGTAAGTGAAGTCTTCAGGAGTTTGANTTCGTATATTTAGTGATTTTTGAATGACTTTTTCTGTTCCGATATCCCGTTTCTACGGAGGAGCCATATATTTTTATTATTTGTTCTTTGGAAATTCCGACTTTGAAGTCGAAATTTAGAGTTCACAGCCGTAATTTCGAGTTTGAAGTCGTAATTTCGAGATCAAAGTCGTAATTTTGACTTTTAAGTCGTGATTTCGAGATTTAAGTCGTATTTTCGAGTTTAAAGTTGTGATTTTAAAGTCGTAATTTCGAGTTAACAGCCGTAATTACGAGTTTGAAGTCGTAATTTCGAGATTAAAGTCGTAATTTTGAGTTTAAAGTCGTGATTTCGAGATTAAATTAGCAATGTCACAAAACGTCATCCACGCATGTGCCTTTTTGATCTTGGGAATAGAAAGAAGTCTCAGGAGACAAGATCTGGTGAATATTGTGGCTGATGCATGATTGCGGTGATGTTTTCTTCGTACTTCTTCTCGTAAAGGGCGACTGAGGAAGCTATTGTACAACAAAACACATGTTGCGATTTTGTGTAGCGTACTGTACAGTAGTTTCCTCATGGGGAGGTGATTAAATGAACATCTAGCTTACCTACACACTCCCTATATAATCGTTTTTGAATTTCAAATGTGTTAAGTTAGTTTTTATACTTGAAAATGGGATAAAACCAGAAACCGGTAGTGAAAATAAAGTAACTAGTGGAAATTATACAAAAATGTTTTCATTCATTTCATTAAAGTGATCATGATTTTCCATAAAATTAACAAGTCATCAATTATTCAAATTCCTTGAGAATTAACAGCCGAGGCGTGATATATTTGTCTGAATTGATCAGTCAATTATTGTAACCTCGAACAGCAATAATGCCTCAACAATTTTCACACTGTTCAAAATGTATTCATCATTTTATGAATTAATGTAGGTATACTTACAGTAATAAAAAAATGATGAAATTTGAATTGAGAGACTAACATTCCCAGTTTTGCTTTCTGTGAAAATGAACTTTTAGAAGAAAAATTGTTGAAGCGCAGAAAGGGCAGGGCCCGCAGAACTGTAGATTAAAGAGAGTTTCGTATATTTAGTGATTTTTGAATGACTTTTTCTGTTCCGATATCCCGTTTCTACGGAGGAGCCATATATTTTTATTATTTGTTCTTTGGAAATTCCGACTTTGAAGTCGAAATTTAGAGTTCACAGCCGTAATTTCGAGTTTGAAGTCGTAATTTCGAGATTAAAGTCGTAATTTTGAGTTTAAAGTCGTGATTTCGAAATTAAAGTCGTAATTTCGAACTTAAAGTCGTAATTTCAAAGTCGTAATTTCGAGTTAACAGCCGTAATTACGAGTTTGAAGTCGTAATTTCGAGATTGAAGTCGTAATTTTGAGTTTAAAGTCGTGATTTCGAGATTAAAATCGTAATTTCCAGTTTAAAGTCATTTTGAGATTGAATTAGTAATTTATAGTTAATTTTCATTTGTTTTGCAAGTTACGTCCGGATTTTTCTTTTTCAAAAATGAAAAAAGGATTAGAAGGAAATACATTGTTAATCCTACTACTCCTATTTCTACAAATATTGTAAATGCGAAAAGTTGGTGAGGATGAAGTCGTAATTTTCAAGTCGTAATTTCGAGTTTAAAGTCGTGATTTCGAGTTTGGTGTCGTAATTTTGAGATCAAAGTCGTAATTTCGAAGTCGTAATTTCGAGTTTATAGCCGTAATTTCGAGTTTGAAGTCGTAATTTCGAGATTAAAGTCGTAATTTCCAGTTTAAAGTCGTAATTTCGAGATCAAATTAGTAATTTCGAATTTAATTTTTATTTGTTTTACAAGTTACGTCTAAATCTTTCTTTTTCAAAAATGAAAAAAAGGTGAGCTGCTGCTTCAAGAAAGTGAAGTTTCTAAACGAATATTGTATTGAATATCATCAGCAAAAAAAGAACTGAAAGGATTAGACTTCTACACATATTATAAATGCGTAAAGTTAGTGAGAATGAAGTCGTAATTTTAAAGTCGTAATTTCGAGTTTAGAGTCGTAATTTCGAGTTTGATGTCGTAATTTCCAGTTTAAAGTCGTAATTTCGAGATCAAACTAGTAATTTCCAGTTCAATTTTTATTTGTTTTGCAAGTAACGTCCGAATCTTTCTTTTTTAAAATATAAAAAGGGTGAGCTGCTGCCTCAAGAAAGTGAAGTTTCTAAACGAATATTGGCGTGTATTGAATATCATCAGAAAAAAAAAGAACTGAAAGGATTAGAATGGAATATATTGGTAATCCTACATCTACCCATATTATAAATGCGTAAAGTTTGTGAGAATGGATGAATGAAATGTATGTATTTACGTTTTTTAATTTTTCACGCCTAAACAGCTCAACGGATTCATATGTAAGTTGGTATGTAGATACATCATGAGCTGAAATAACATCAAGGGCGGTACATATCAGAAATACGCGACGGACTGTGGCTGCTCATCGTTCCGAAGTTCATCTCAGTACACCTCGAACTTCACTGTTCAAGAACTCTTTCATCTGGAGAACTGCGTTTACGTGGAATAAACTTGCTGACAACGTTTTTTAAAATGAATTTAATCTCCAGCGATTCAAATCCAATGTAAATCGCTACTTTCGCATAGGCACCGCTCTAAGAGCGCTTTGAGGATTTTCCTGTAGTGGTTGTGTACGTTTTTCAGCACATAAAAAAATTGCGAAAGATTTTGAAAAATTATGATGTTGAAAAAGGTGTTTAGGTTTCTGCAAATATTTCAAAAACTATAAAGAAATGAGAAGTTAAAAAAACGGTTCTCAAAAAGAACGAACCATTTGAAAAAAGTCCCACCTCTCAAAACTCTATGTCTATTAATTATAATTTTAATTAAACCCCAAAAATAGGACTCCGCGGGTGAATTTGGGTGTCTCTAATTTCAAAATTTATAAGATCAGGGAGTATTCTGAATTCTACAAAAAACTGAT